CGTGTTTTTCCTACCATCAAATTGTGCTTAATTTCTACATAATCTCTTTTGGTTTTTTCCTCCTATGAGCTCTTATGGTTTTAAAAAACATGTGCAATCTAATTTAATCCTATTTAACCTCTCTTATTTAAATTAGCCTTTGAGTTAAGTTCAAAGTATAACCCAAATATTTCTAACAAGTTCCCTCCCTTTTATTTTATTAATAATATATATATATATAGTTTATATATCTAATTATTCTAATTATTTATTTAATTATTAAAAAAAGGACATTACAACATTTGTCAAACTTAAGCGTCTACATAATCTCTTTTGGTTTTTTCCTCCTATGAGCTCTTATGGTTTTAAAAAACATGTGCAATCTAATTTAATCCTATTTAACCTCTCTTATTTAAATTAGCCTTTGAGTTAAGTTCAAAGTATAACCCAAATATTTCTAACAAGTTCCCTCCCTTTTATTTTATTAATAATATATATATATATAGTTAATAATTATTAAAAAGTTGTTAATTAACATTATACCTGCATCCCCTTTAAGAGTATATTTGTAAAAACTTATAATCCTACCTTTCGTATGTTTCAGTGAGAAAAAAAAATGTTTATAAAATGCCATGTGCCATGCAAATGCAATTCACACCAGACTTGCACTTCGGTAATTCATGAATCGTCTAAATTTTGTAGCAAAGTTCCCTGTCATAATACGGTCCATGTTTTGTGCGCTCCCAAATCGGGTTTGTCTTTTTTTTTATTAAGTGCATGTCCTCGATCTAAAGTAAAATAGTTACGGTATTTGGTAAAATAACTATATCATTATTTATTATTAGTCAAGATAACACTTGCACGGACACTAGATCATTTATGTATGTCCATATTTAGTACTCCATTTCTATTTACTTTTAATATTTATTTTTTCTCATTCACATTTTGGAGCCTTTTCATATTCAATGATAGTAACAAGAAGACAAGAAGTACCGTACTGTGCCCATCCCCTAACACTACTTGTGTTCTTGTAATCTCTTGCGTTTTTCTATTTTTGTAGTCTGGAGGCTAAATTTTTAGATATATACTATTATGCAATAAGTTCTAAACTTCTAATGTGTTTTTTAAAAAGGTATTTCAAGCACTACGTATTTTCCTCATATATATCCTTTGTGCTCATGGGTATTAATTAGTCATTATCTTGTAATTTTGTTTTAAAAGTTATTTTGTAGCACGATTGGTAGTGAGGCTTTTTTTTTTTGTCAAATATCATATTTGTTTAGATATGGATATTGAGAAGGAAAATACACTTTCTTCTCTTGAAGACACCCTGCTGCGTAGAGAAGAATCTTTAGCTCATTGTTTGGTTTTTGATGATGAAAGTTTATACTCCAAAATTTGGACAAAAAAATAATATGGAGGAAGTTCGGGTGGCAAAATTAGGCATGGAGTTTAAATCTGATGAATAAACTTATCAATTTTACAATACATATAGTAGTGAAATTGGTTTTAGTATGAGAAGGCATTGTAAAAATGATCTTCCAAATGATACAATAAAAGATCGAATGTTTTGTTGCTCTGCTGAAGGCTTTCATCGTAATTATAAGAGAATCACTGAACTGAAAAAAAAAACAAGCTAATACAAGAATAGGTTGTGCAACACACATGCAGATTTCTATTCAACTTAATGGCAAGTATTCTGTTAGTATTCAACTTAATGTTCATAATACATGCATGTAAGAAAACATTGTGTTTCATCTATCAAATTAATCTTTATTTTAGAAGGAAGTTAAAAACAATTATCTATTACTTCTATCTTTATTTTAAGTGTTGGTTTTTTCATTTATTGTACTTAAAAATTACAAAATTGTAACATTTTCGCTTAAGTTTGACAAATGTTGTAATGTCCTTTTTTTAATAATTAAATAAATAATTAGAATAATTAGAATATGAGGAAAATACGTAGTGCTTGAAATACCTTTTTAAAAAACACATTAGAAGTTTAGAACTTATTGCATAATAGTATATATCTAAAAATTTAGCCTCCAGACTACAAAAATAGAAAAACGC